TGTGTGTGTGTGTGTGTGTGTGTGTGTGTGTGTGTGTGTGTGTGTGTGTGTGTGTGTGTGTGTGTGTGTGTGTGTGTGTGTGTGTGTGTGTGTGTTATATATGACATTTACATAAGTTGTGTTTTTCACAAGTATTTCGCTAATACAGTACGTTGCAGTATATTGCTTCGCAGCGATAATTATATTCATGTCAATGTCCCTTATTCCACATACGCTCGATATCATATTGCCTCTTAACGAATCCCGTCCCGTATTACCGCCATATCGAGGATACTACTTCGTAGACATCCGAGAACATTTTTTTCAAATATTCTGGCATGCCATCGTGGCCTGGGAAATTGTTATAGCCGGTATAATTGCCCATGATTGCTTGTTTGTAACTTACGTCGAGCATGTTTGTAGCAAATTTGCTATAACTGGGTAAGGAAATTATTTATGACACGAGCAAACAAAGCTACCTCAGGGAATGGAAGTAACTCGTTACTTGTAACGAAATTATAATTATAAGTTACTTTTTTGGTAATTTATTGATAACTATTACTATTCTTTTTTGGTAACGTTACTATTCTTTTTTGATAACTGTAACGGTAAAGCAATTATATTTTTTTGTAACGGTTATTAATTTTACAGCTACTTTTTGTATTTTGAACCTAATATATTTATGACATAATTTTAGTTTACTCAATCTTCAGTCTTTAGATAGTATTCATAATTTATTCTGATTTCAAGACCGTTTTAATAATTCTTTAATGAATAACTAATGATGGAAAAGTCAATGACCTTGACTTCCTTGAGAATCAAGGTCAAGGTCAGTTGGAGGTCATTTGGTGCGGACTGTATAAAGGGAAAGTTTTATCGTAAAATATGTTGCAAACTGCGATATCTGTCTGATATCTATGTCATATAGAAGAAATAATTCCTGAAATATACTTATAGCTGTCAACTGCCGCAACGCCCCTGCAATGATTTTTGACATCTGAGAAATATACCATTATTTCAGGCATTATTTTAGACTTCTACGTGATATATCAGCCAGATATCTCAGTTTGCCGCATATTTTACAGATTTCAGAATTACAAAATTATGTTTTTAAAGAAAAACTAAAAAATAAAGCTAGTGTCATTGATGTATATTGCTTTTATCAACATTTATACAAAAAATATCGCAAAAATACATTTTTTTAGACTGGTTGTATTTTAGCACTTAGACTGATTGTAAATAGTAACGAAAAAGTAATGAATACTTCTTAAGTAACGGTAACTGTAGTTACTTTTAAAAATCAGTTATAACTATAGTAACGATAACTTGTTACTTTTTTGACTCGGTAACTGCAACTTGTTACTTTTAAAAAAATAACTTTCCGTTCCCTGCCCTATAGCATGTAATCTCGTAATAATAGAGACACGTGAAATGGCGTCGATATTGCGCAAACTATTTACAGATTTCATTATGAACACTTGTTTCACGATTGTAAAAATAAAGTGGAAATCGTATCATCGATAAACTCTGACGATACTACATACTCCAAGAGAGTTGCATTCCTCGTACGTAAACACCGCGAAGCTTTAGAGTAAGTGTACGATGTGAATGGTAAAAAGTAATACGAAACGTAACATGCACATTTGCATAGACGTACGTAAATGTGCACACAGGATAAATTTAAAAATGATATATAACTCTTTACAATTGAAATTTCTCATTTGTTACAGATATGCGCAACTTCTTGAAGATACATTTACTATACCTTTCGCTATGCAGATATTCATAGTAACGGTAGGAATGAGCATTACTTTACTGCAAGTACGTCTGATTACATAATTCTTACAATTTTTAAAACCCATTACACACCCAAAGCGACACTCTATGAAGAAGAATTCAAATGTTGTACGTATTTCTTGTGCTACAGATTACACAGGATAAAAGCAATATCTTAGAAGCAACAAGATACGTGTTCTATATCATTGGCCAACTGATTCATTTATTTTTTCTTAGTTTCGAAGGACAAAGACTGATAGATCACAGCCTTCAGATACGCGATAAGATGTAAGATGATATTATTTTCGATTCATCTAAACAATATATATGTGACTAATTATAGATTCAAATATAATGTTATTGCCTGTATTTCGTGTATCTTAAAAATATCGCAGGTATAACAGCTCCTGGTATAAAGCATCCATGAAATTACAAAAGATAATCATGCTAGTGATGATGAAGAGTCTTTATCCGAGTTTCTTAAGCGCAGGAAAAGTTTACATTTTCTCTCTACAGACCTTCACTATGGTAAAGCAAGAATTGTCGCAAATGTTCTTTCGAAGCCTTTTTAATAACATTTGGTGCTCTTATCTTAAAGGTTCTACAAACCTCGATGTCGTACTTTACAGTACTCGCGTCCTTTTAATAACTTAAACGTTATTACTTCCTATCCAACAATTGAACGATGACAACAATGACGATATATATATATCTATATATATTTGTATGTGTCTCTAATACTTTTATTACAATATAACAGGATTGGCAACGTTACCTCATAAAAATAACTCGTTACCGTTACCGTTCTTTTTCCTAAAAAGTAACTCGTTACCGTTACCGTTCTTCAAAATATAACGAGCTTGGACGTATAAAATGGACGTATAAACTTGGATGGAGCATAAAGTGCTAATATAGACGCGGAGAGGTCTAAATTTCGTTACTTTCTTTTCTTGATACTAATAGAATATTATAGCGTTTTTCATTGGCAGAACTTGTGTGCACTCAGTGCACATTAAAGCCGATGTACACAACTCTAAATGTAAAAATGAGATATTTCTCAATTGATGAAGTGCCTAAAGTATATTTTATCAAATAGTATAATATAATGCATTGAGGATTTCGTGGTTTAACTCGTTTCTATATTTTTATTAATCATACGTCGATTGTACACAGACTTTAAAGTGCACTGAATGCGCGCTAGTTCTGCCAATGAAAAAACACCATTATATGCGTAATTAAATTCCTGTGGTAAATATAAAAAAGATGTCAGAATTCTATTTTTTAGTAGAGGAATAAAACTCAAAAACTGATAAATGTATATACGCTCTAGTGTGTGTTATGATTAAAACTTTTATGTAAATAGAATTAGAGTAACGATAAAAGTAACTAATAAAATCGTTACCATTACCCCAAAAATGTAACTGCGTTACCATGAACGTTACTCAGAAGAAAATGTAACATCGTTACCCAATCGTTACCGAAAAAAGTAACTTGTAACGGTAACGGCGTTACAAGTATATATATATATATATATATAGACTTTTTTGTTCCCCTTGACCTCTTCTACGACCCCAATATGGCCCTGACCTTACTTAAGAGACATCCTGTGTGTATATGTATATATATATAACGCGTTACTTGTCAATTCTGCAATATAATATACTTTTGTTAACCATCCTAATGTAATGTTTGTGATAATTGCCTAAAATCTATGTACAGGGTATCTCACAACTACCGTACTTCCTCTTAAGGACGTATTCTTGAGGTAATTTTGAGAAAATCTTAATACGAAAATGTCGAAACTACAATAATTTTTTGAATTATAAACTAACTTTAAATGCTTATAAGTCAAAAACCATTTTACTTTTAAAGTTCTATTATTATTTCGGGATTCTTCTGAACATTCTAAGACGAGATCCTAATACGAAAATATCGAGCCTATAACAGTTTTTGAATTACAAACTATCTTTAACCAATTATAATTTAAAAACTATTGTAATCCCGACATTTTTGTATTAGAATTTTCCGAGGAGCTACTCACACCTACGAAATCAACGAGAAATTCAGTAAATGAGGCAGTCAAGCATTCCTCATTGAAATAAAAAAATCATCTGAAATCGAACAAAAAAACATTGTCGTACGCTCAGTCGCGCGTCTCGAACTTTCTGTCGGAAAACAGGTAAAATCACTTTGCAATCACGTTGAAATAACCATGAATACAAGAAATCGGAAATCACTTTCGTAGGTGAGTATCCCCTCGGAATTTTCATCTCAAAATTACCTCAAGAAAACGTTCTTAAGAGAAAACGGTAATTGTAAGACACTCTATCTATATCAAATTCTACTAAAGATAAGAGTATCATTGTGAAACATGTAATAGATTTTACTTCCCGAAGAGATTGCTTTGAGAACTGACACAAGTGAAAAAAATACTCTATTAATCGATAAGTTCCATTCGAAAGGAACCTGTTAACATGCTAAAGTGATACACCTATCAAGGGCTTCACTTGTGTCTACGTTATATTTAGTGTCAAAGGAATAAATACTACTACCATCCATACGTTCGAGTTACGCGTCATTTATTCGCGGAAATGTGTCATGATGGCTATGAGGAAATCCAATTGTAGGCATATAGCATTTGCATTATGCATGACCTGTCCAGGATCTCACACTATTTCTCGTACCAAGGGAGTCTCAGATGAAATAAAAGTCTGAAACGAAAGACTATCACTAAGATCGTATGACTATGAACACCAACTGGAGTCATTATGATCTTGTTAAGAAACTATCATCATTGTCTGGCCAGTGGCCCTACCAGAAACCAATAACGAGAGTATTCTGTATGATCTTGATGACTTTGAGCACGATTTCTGTGATTATTCCACAGGTAATGCTAATAATTCTCAATATTATGTCGCCTGAAATAAAGACGTTTCCATACATACACTGATTATTGCGAAGAATATTACTAAGGTCTCGATAGTTTAAAGGCTTAGGATGCTCGTACGGAATACAAGAGATCCGAGTTCGACTCCTGGCCGAGATACTTTTCGCAATAAATTTATTTACAGTTTTTCAGCAGATTAACATCTTTCTAATAGGATGCCTGATTGAGCATCAAATTATAAAAAATTGCTTGTCAAATTTAATATGTACATATATAGTATATATAGTAATTCAGATTGAATTATTTAAGCATTAAAGATCTAGCTTTGACCGTTATTTCTATTTCTTATTGTTGAATTTTCAAATGTACGGTCCAGTAAGATTTTTATAGTTTAATTCTCAATAAAAGTGACAGTTGAAACAGCTGTAATATTTTAATTTCTATAGATAGCTAAATTTGTTATATGTGACGGGAATTTACAATGCATCTTTGAAACTCTGTCGTCCTGTATGTTAACAACTATAACACTGGTGAAATTGTATACGTGTTATTTTAACCGATGTAAAGTACGTAAAATTATTGGGCGCATTCAGAGGACTCAACAATTAAGTGAGCACTCGCTGTTATTAGTATATTCTTTTAGATCACCCAATCAGAATTTTAGATCAGAATTTTAGAAGAATACATCAATAGCAGCAAGCACTCACTCAACTGTTGAGTCTACTGAACGCAGTCATTCATTTCTTGTAGCGTTCATACCATATATCATACTCAAGAGAATATAATATTTTAATGTTGCACGTATAAGTGTTGTATGTGTATTTGTGTTCTATCATTAGAGCATATATTAAATTATATTAAGTAAAATGTATTATTAATCGATGGCATCCCTAGATGAAAGTCCTCATTGATCAGTTATTTGTTGATTGGAACGAATTGGAAACACCAGAAGAATATGAAATTATGGAAAGATATGCCAAGAACAGCAGGCGATATTCTTTAGGATATTCATGTAAGAATTAATTATGCCACTTTCCCAGTAAACGAAAATGGATTGAAATGAATTAAAAATTGCAATTTATTTTAATTTATTCGAGTTCGCGCTTTAGAGTCCGGAGCTGAATTGAAATGAATTGAAATGAATTGATATCTAAAGACATAAATTTGATTCTGTTCATGAAATGGATAGAAAATAAAAAGGGGGGAGGGAGTCGGAGATGAATCGTGTTCCACCTATTGCATCCACGCATACACTTTACAACGTTATATTATTGAAATATGTATAGCTATGTGTTCGAAAATTACATACTACTCCTAAAAATTGTTTTGTTAATAACTTTTTAACGAGTAACGTCCTGCAGTTGAAACTTCCTCAAGGTCACTCAGGGTCATGACCTTGATAACATATGTCAAGGTCACGGTCATTGGGGGAGGCTCCCCTGATCTACATTTTTAAAAAAGTTAAATAAAATTTTTAAAAACATTTTTAAAAAGTTTAAAAAGTTAAATAAAAATCAGTATTAACAATTTTTTTGCATAAAGAAACGGCCGCTGCCCAGTGAAAATCATAACTTTTTTCTTCAAAGTCGCACAAAATTGCAATTTATATATATATATTTTTTAATTTTTTAGGTTCACTTAGGATGATATTCTATACAAATTAAAAATCTTTTTTAATTTTTTGTTTCAGGCAAGAATTACAGCCGCTAGGATTCCCACAAAATCGTTACGTCGTGGCGAACCGCCAAACTAAATGTTTATGTTTTTATTATTTAGAATACTTTTTTTCACATAAAAATTTAAACGTACTTCACAATAATTATACTAAAACATGTAAAAAGTTTGAAATCGATAAACATTAATCTTTCTTGTGAAAAAAAATTACGAAGGATCACCTTGTTTTCGCCCACCTGATGTAAGAAAAAATTAAGATCTACTGGATCTAAACAAATTCTTAAGGACCCATTCGGCTTTCCAACTAATTATTTTTTGATTGAAATGAATTAAAATACGAAAGAGCTATTCATCATGTTGAATTTAGATGTATTCAAGAATTCAAATGGATTTGAAAAATCAGAAGCGCGAATTTGCTTGTCGAAATGAATTCATTTCTATCCATTTCAATTTATTCTCGTTTACTAGATTCATCTCCATACTCATTTCTTGCTTAATACATTTATTTACGAAATTATAATTTAGCTATTATTAGGCAAACGCTTCATCTGTTGTAGTGTATTATTATTTTGGCGTGTATGTATTTATATCCCTATCTCTCATACCGCAAGTGTTGGATGTCGTTTTACCTCTCAATGAATCTCGCCCTATACTGCCGATATATCCAGGATATTACTTCGTTGATGAAAGAAAATATTTCTTCTATATTTTCTCACATGCTATTATGGCTTGGGAAATTGCTGTGACTGTGATACTCTCCCACGATTGTATGCTCTTAACTTACATAGAACACATCTGCAGTATTTTCACTTTAGTAGGGTAAAAACAACATATATAGTCTTATTTAGCAAAATTGACGCCATACGCATATATCATTGAGGTTATATTTACAGATTTCGGTTTGAACGATTAATATACAACAATAACCTGAAAATGTTACATTCTCACACAAGTGACATGTACTGTAAACAAATTGCATTTTCCGTATATACGCACCGAAAGGCTTTAAAGTGAATAATCTATCAATATAGATAAAAATAGAAATTTCGATTCTTATTATTATAATATATTCCTCTTTGTTATTA